TGTATATATAGTATCATGTCACCTGCAAATAGTGAAAGTTTTACTTCTTCCTTACCCATTTGGATGCCATTTCTTTCTTTTACTTGTCTTATTCCCGGGGCTAGGACTTCCAGTACTATGTTGAATACAAGTAGTGAGAATGGACACCCCTGTCTTGCTCTTGATCTTGGGGAAAAGCTTTTAGTTTTTCACCATTGAGTATGATTTTAGCTGTAGGTTTTTATGTGGTCTTTATTATATTGAAATATGTTCCCTCTAAATCTACTTCGTTGAGAGTTTTTATCATGAATGGATATTGTACTTTGTCAAATGCTTTTCTGCATCTATTAAAATAATCATGTGCTTTTTATCCTTTCTCTTGTTGATGTGATGTATGATGTTAATTGATTTGTGAATATTGAATCACGTTTGCATCCTAGGAATAAATCCCACTTGATCACAGTGAATGATTTTTTTAATGTATTGTTGGATTTGGTTGGCTATTATTTTGTTGAGGATTTTTGCATCTGTGTTCATCAGAGATATTGGCCTTTAGTTCTCTCTTTTTTAAAAAAGATTTTATTTATTTGCGATAGAGCAAGAGTGAGAGAGAGAGACCGCACAAGCAGGGGGAGTGGGAGAGGGAGAAGCAGGCTCCCCGCTGAGCCAGGAGCCCGATGGGGGACTCGATCCCAGGACTCTGGGATCATGACCAGAGCTGAAGGCAGACGCTTAACTGACTGAGCCACCCAGCCGTCCTTTTTTTTTTTTTTTTTTTTTTTTTTTAAGTGTCTTTACCTGGTTTTGGTATCAGGGTAATGCTGGCCTCACAGAATGAATTTGTGAATTTGGAAGCTTTCCTTCTAACTCTTCTTTAAATGTTCGGTAAAATCCACCTGTGAAGCCATCTGCTCCTGGACTTTTGTTTGTTGGGAGTTTTCTGATTACTGATTCAATTTCATTCCTGGTAATCAGTCTGTTCAAGTTTTCTATTTCTTCCTGATTCAGTTTTGGGAGGTTATATGTTTCTAGGGGTTTATCATTTCTTCTAGGTTGTTCAATTTGTTTGCATACAATTTTTCATAATATTCTTATAATCCATCATATTTCTGTGGTGTTGGTTGTCCTTTCTCCTCTTTCCCTTCTGATTTTGTTTATTTGAGTCCTCTCTCTCTCTCTCTCCTTTATGAGTCTGGCTAAAGGTTTATCAATTTGGTTGATCTTTTCAAAGAACCAGCTCCTGGTTGCATTGATCTGCTCTATTGGTTTTTTTTTAGTTTCTATTTCACTTATTTCTGCTCTAATCTTTATTATTTTCTTCCTTCTTTAGGTTTTGGGTTTTGTTTGTTCTTTTTCTAGCTTCTGTAGGTGTAAGTTTAGGTTGTTTCTTCAATATTTTTCTTGCTTCTTGAGGTAGGCCTTGATTGCTATAAACTTCCCTCATAGAACAGCTTTTGCTGGATTCCAAAGTTTTTGGACCATGGTGTTTTCATTTTCATTTGTCTCCATGTATTTTTTAATTTCTTCTCTGATTTATTCCCTTACAATTTTAAATCTTTGATTAAATGTGTATATTGGAAAACATTATGTAGTGTCAAGAGCATGAGCTCTGGAATCCAATTACCTAGTTTTAATCCTTCCTTATGATTTACTACCTACATGACACTGGGTAAACCAGTTATACTTCTAAAGCCTCAATGTCCTTATCTGCAAAATCAAAATGATGATAAAAGCATCTGCTTCATAGGGTTGTTGTGAGAATTAAATGAGATCATACTGCAGAAAAGTTAGTATGGTACCTAACAGATTAATCCTTCAAATAATTTAGTTATGCTTACAGGAGACAATGAGACTTTTTATTCAAAAATAGCAACAATATAATGGGTATTCTCCCCATGACCAAAGACAGGGAGAGAGAACAGGTAGTAATGCCAATTGAGTAACTACAAATTGCCAAGTTCTTTGCCAGGCAGTTTATGGACATCATCTCATTTCCTTGCAGCAGATTTGTGAGGTAAGAATCATTATTTCCATGTTACAGATGGAGAAACTGAAGCTCAATAAAGTGAAGTAACTGAGAACCACATACCAAATAATCTGCAGAGTCAAGTTTGTCTAATTTCAAAGTCATATAGTTTTTCCTCACCTAAACAATGTTTTCCTTCTGGAGGAGGAAAGAAAATATATTTTAAGCCACATCCCGTTTAGGTTGGCTCCCAGATTATTTAACTGACACATATGTGAGTGTTTTCATCAGCTGTCAGTGTTTGCCTATGGTGCCCCTATCCCACTCAGTCTCTCCTCCCTGAAATGGCTGGTTGAGGAACACTTAGCCCACTGCTGGGACCATGTCCTAACTCTCAGTCAGGAAGTTTGCATCAGCTCCCAAGATGGACAGGAGACTCCTGTTATTTTACGGAGCCAGATCTGAGGTTTTAGACAGGCAGGGAGTAGGAGGAGTCAGGACTGGGAAAGTCGAATGATTCCCCTCCTGATGTCTAGTGGTTCACATCGCTAAGATAGATACCAGGCTGTGAATTGTGCCTCCTCAGCTGATCCCCATTCTGGATCAGTATCCCTATGAGTAATTTCTCTCCTGATTCTGGCACTCTGGACTTTCTACTACCACTGATGGATTTTTATCTCTATAGAGGGAAAAAAGGGATGCCCAGGCCTTGGCTGCGAGTGCTCACTCCACTACCCTTTGCTGCCCTCTACTGACCATACCTGGAAATTACATTTAACCTTTCAGGCCCTTGGCCCAAATAGATACTACAGTGAGTGAAACCAGGCACACAAAATTTGAGGTGCACCAAAAAACTAAGTAAATAAGATACGATATTTTAATTTCAATGTAGTATTTTAAAAAGTCAATTTTCAAAAAATACATGGTGAACAAAATATCTAAATGTACCCTAAAACAGTACTACTAGCTTATATGTACACAGAACCTGCCATCCATCTTTTCATTCATGAAAGAGGTCTAATACCGCAGTGGCAAATCACGCTATCAATACTGGTCAACCTTTTTCATCACTCACATATATGGGGGAAAAAACCCCAGAAAATTTAGAGTAAGTGAAAAACAAAAATGAGAAGGTCCAAGTGGAACAGATATTGTAACAGTCGAATCCTAAAGAAAACAAGTAAGAGAACAGGAAAAAAAAAAAACTGATTAAGAAAACAAAACCAACTAACATCTTCAGAGTCAAGAAGCCAAAGAATGGGTGGCTATAAAATAAGAACAAAGAAAAAGATTTTTTGGAAATTAAAGATATCATCGACCAAATTAAATGTACTAGAAAGTCTTGAAGATTGAGTTTCAGGAATCCCACTTGACTTTGACACTTGGAACATTCATCTTTCAGTTTTAATGACATAAGATTACCCTTTCTTTCTCAGTAAGTAGAGCTATTTGGTCCTTCGGTAAGGAGTAATTTAATCATTGGAATAATGGAAATGCTATTTTAATTTGTAGAATCAACGTATAAACAAAACTTGGAAGACAACAACTGTAAAAGAATCTGACTAATACTAACATTGATAATATAAAAAAAATGGAAGTCTGAATATTAAGGCAGCAGAGACGTGGAAGAGATAATGTCACAGATCTTTTTCACCTATTTATTTATATAGCAAAAAATCAAGATACACTGTCTAAAATTGATGTAACAAAATACAGACGTAAGCATACTCTTTAAAATGGTAATAACCAGAAAAATCAAAACAATGTAACTGGAAAATGTAGAAGCAGATGGATAAAAGAAATAAGTTTCTCATCTTTCAATAGATGCTATTTCAAGTTCATAAAACAAGAAATGAAAGTATTAAATAGGTTTCAGAGGTATTGTGATAACCACCAGTAGAACAGAAAATATTTAAAAATAGGGAGCTGGAAATGAGGAGTTGGGGAACAGGTTCAGGCAGGGAATTTCCTTTTCATTTGGTACCACTCTGTACTGCTTGTTTTTTAAAATGTGTGTATGTATTAATTTTACACTATAAAAGTTAAAAAAAAAAAAAAAACCCTGACTCTTTGCAGCTGCAGCTCTTGGCATCATTTCCTTCCCAGCTGCAGTCTCTTTCCTTACACCAGTGGTCAGATCCTACTGAGACAGGAAGGAGTAAGAGAGAAAAGAAAAGTTTCTGCCCTTAATTTAAGTGTCTTGGAATCCTTTTTATTTGTTTGTGCTTGTGTTCTGTCTTTTCAAATGGCGCCACTCTTTGGAATATTAACTTTTGACTACTTTCATCTGTGATATCTAGAATCTTCTTAAAGTCTTGCTAAACTTTGGTATCCTTCTGTTCGTTCTTGACAAAGAGTAATCCTGACTCATTGGCTCTCACTGTGACCGTGGTATTTTATTTCCTTAGAATCTTGGTTCTGGTCAACTACTTCCTAGCCAGGTCCAACTCAGCTTGCCTAGGTAGGAATGAAAAGTCTATGGAAGAGTGATGACAATTACTACTATCAGAACAAATAAGACGTGGCATATCAGTAAGTTAAACATAGTGCTAAGGGAGCAGGGTGACGTTCATTACCCCATTCCTCATGCACTGACAGAGGAGAATGTGTTTCACTCCACTGTTCTGGAGAGAACACATTCGGAGGAGTTTGGGAGTAGACGTTTTCTCTAGACCACAATCTTGCACCAAAGTGCCAAAAGCATGGGACACGAGACACAAGGAAATGAAACCAGAATATCTAAATTTTCGAAGAAGGCAATAATGTCTCAGGGTCACTCTCTAAATTTGAGAAACAAGGCAGAGGATCATAGGGGAAGGGAGAGAAAAATGAAACAAGATGAAACCAGAGGGAGACAAACCATAAGAGACTCTCAATCTCAGGAAATAAACTGAGGGTTGCTGGAGTGGTGGCGGGTGGGAGGGATGACGTGGCTGGGTGATAGACATTGGGGCGGGTATGTGCTATGGTGAGCGCTGTGAATTGTGGAAGACTGATGAATCACAGACCTGTACCCCTGAAACAAATAATACGTTATATGTTAATAGAAAGAAAAAAAAAAAAGAAAAGGTCCCTCCCTGAAAGTAGGCAATATATATGGGAGATGACTACACACGAGTCACCAAAACAAAACAGTAACAACAACAAACACAAAGAAATACACACACATATTAAACATGTGGAAGCACAACGGTTGCTGGGCGCTGTGTGCTCAGTGAATACGGACTCACAGGCTGTGGACTCAAGGCGGGTGCCTCTGGCTGGCTTGCCCTGGGACTGAAACCCAACAGTTCCCAGGTCCTCGCTGTCTCCAATAGAGGGAGCACTAAGTTACCTGCCACGCCATTACCTATTCACTTAATTGGGGGACCACAGTTTTGTTTGTGACAACTTCTATAGGGGAGATGCAGTCTCTTTTGTGACTGCTGGGCCCTTGGAGACTAGAACTAATTCAAGGTTCGAACCAACTTTGAAGAGGCTGAAGAAGCTACGCCCATTCCTGTGAAATCCCAGGACACCGCTACAGCTACCGGAACCCAGGCTCTGCGTAAAAGCCTCTGGCTGACACTGAGCCAACTGTATACGATTGAGAATGAAGGCACTTGGACTTTAATTTCTATGGGCTTTTGTGAGGGGATTTAGTTTGGGGGGAAGTGGAGTCATAAACAAAGAGTGTCCTATTGTTCAAATTTGGGACATTTTCGTGTGGATACAGTCTCTGTGTTCATTTCATCAAAGTCTGGTGAGCCACTTTGGACAACATGACTGGACCTAATTAGTGATACGAAATGGACCGGAGAGTTAACTTTCAGCTTAGCGTGCTGCATGGCGTTCTACCGGACTCATGGGGCCGGAGTCTTTTGTGGGCAGAAAGCAAGATGCCCTTCAGCAGTTCCAGAAGGACTCTGTGGGGAGGAGGCGAGTTCAGGCGTGTGTGAGCGCAGCAGTAGCGGGAGCAGGCGCGGCTCCGCTAAGGGGACTGCTGCCCTGGCTCCCTTCGGAGGCTGGAGCACAAAGGGCTACGACATTGGTTCTCAGCCTCCCATCGTGTGTGCGCGGCCTTCTTACCTTGTCTACATTTGCATCATCCATACAAAATACTGATATGTTTTTCTTTAAACATTCAGAGTGGACTTTAGAATCTTCGCTCATGGTAATGTGTTAGAACATGTTATACGTTTTTCTGAATACAGATTAAAATACATAGTTACTAAAATTAAAAAAAAAATGCCCGTGAGCATGCTACCTAAAGCAACTCACAGGACGCCCGTGGAACGCACAGTGTAATACACTAAAAAGCTTAAAAAGCTGGCAAATATTCAACGAGAGGGATGCATGCTACTCCACTCTCCAGGTCTCCATTCCAATCCTGATGACAGAAGGTGCTGTTGGGCAGAGATCTGGGGCCCCTCTCTCCACTGTCTCTCTCACACCATTCCAAGCAACAGAGAAAAGACCTTTCTAAGACTTATAGGAGTTCGAGTCAAGTGCTTTCTTATTGTGCCCTTGGCGTTCAGGACGCAGGGCTTCTTGCTCCCATGTTGGAGTGGGCTTGCGCGAGGATGCCTGCAGTTGCCTGGCCATTCCCGGCTCATTTCTGGAGGTGTAGTAGCAAACCCTGTTTCTGCTTGAGATCTAAGCCTCACTCTACCCAGCTTTGCTAGGGAACCCCATGATTTGGATGATAACATACATCTCAATCGCCTTCTGTCTCCTCTATTTCTCACTCGTTCAAATTCCAACACAGCATGTAGTTACAAAAACAAGTGAAAGAATGAGAGAAGAAAATGTTGATGGAAGAAGATGCATGCAGCTATGGTACAGCAAAATACTGTGTGTATATAAACATTTAATGATCGCTTGTTATGAAAAAGTGTTTTTTAAAAAATTAATGAAACTTGATACTCAAAATACTGTTGAGTTCTCCTTCCCCAACTTGGGGTTAGAGTCATGTAGCAGTCTAGTCTTTTTGGCTGAGTCTGTGCACACTGGAGCAGGGGCACCCTCCTTTGTTCCCTAGTCTCTGAGAAGCAAGGAGATATACTAGAAAGAATATTGGCCTTGGGGTCGGGCCTGGGGACAGATTCTGGATGTTTGAAGTTGGGCAAATTACCTAGGCTCCCTGAATCTCAGGTTTTACGTGTGTAAAATGGCAACAATAACCTTCCTAGGGTTGTTGTGAGGATTAAAGGAAATGCGTGTGAGTCAGCGAGACTGCCATTCAGAAAGAAATTCACATCCATGTCTAGGTATCCACTGGGCATGTCCCTATCTAGATAGTTTTTAAAGAGGTTTGGCATCTTTCCCTTGCATGGAAGTGGAGCCTGAGCGGTCGTGCTTATATTCAGAGGCCTTTTTCAGCACAGATAAAATGCCAAAACAATAAAGATTTTGATAGGATGTGTACCTTTGTGCAAACAAGCTTGCATAGCAAAATGGTGCAGATAAACGCAGATGACAATGGACTTTATACAAATAAATGAAATGATGTTTCTCTAGTATAAAAATAGATCAAATGGTAAGAGCACAAAAATAGGTGAAACGGTAACATAAACTGACTTGTGTAATCAGAGGGTCAACTCTTGACATTTTTCTCTCTAGGCCTTTTCTAATAGTTTTGTTGCTAAGGCTACAGTGTTTTTGCCAGATTGGAACAGCATTGTCAACTCTAATGAAGATTAAGTAGCTTTCCCAACTAGATTTTTTTTAATAAGCATCAGTTAATACTGCTGGCTTTCAAAGCCATGTTCGTGAAGAATGGAAAGATCTTTAAAGATCTGTTCTTAGAAAATGTAGCTCATAAAATTTGGAATTTAGCAGCATTTCTATTCCATAGTTATTCCAACACAAGTTTTTATCACGGTTACACTGAACAAAATAACTTAAAATCTAATTTCACATATTTAATTAAAACAAGAATAAGAAATTATTATTTACAACTTTAGCCAAAAATTAATTCCCTAAAGAGTAACTGAGGTTACTTAACGAACAATTCTTTTGACTAGTGGGTAAAGTGTTTCACAACTGCTCACAAATGCACACTTGATTTATTCTTTGCACAATATGGATAAGTTACAGGAAGTCATCTGAGGAAAGTGTAAATACAAATGCACCCAAAGAGACGTAGAGTTTTGTAAAGCGGAGTAAATGAAAACCAGTTTGCTCTGGACACTCAATTGCTAAGAGGATGTCAAAGGTAAGAGCCATTAGGAAACGGGTGAAGAAACACTCCTTTTGATGTGCTTGCTGAGGAGCCAGATGAGCTTCCTTGGTCATGGACAGAAGAGACCCATCTAAACTCTAAAAAATGTAGTGCAGTTTGCACGCCCGCTGATTCCGCAATTCTACTTGTGCACTAAAGCATGAGAATTAAATTAAATAATTCATGTGAAGTGCTTAGCCAACTACAGATGCTGTATTTCCTTCCTTGGATGTCTATATTTTTGTAGCCAGAAATCCCACTGTTAATTTCCAGTAAGAAAAGCTGAATATTACAGCCTTTAAAGTCAAAAGTTCACCTTAATTTGAATATTGCAGCATTAGTGACATCTGGTGGAAAATGAGTTACAATGCGGCATTATAGCTATTCTGATCTGTCCTGTCTAATAATAATATTATCACTTTCATCACATTTTCACATACCCCTTTCCCCAACTCCATGGGAGGAGTATACTTCCCTGCCCCACTGAAGTTTGGCTCAGCCACAAGACTTGGCCAAAATCAGTGGAATGTGGGCAAAAATGTCAGTGTCAAAGTTTGGAAACTAAGCTTTAAAAGTCCTGGCTAGCTATTGCCCCTTCAATGGTAGAATGAAACATGTGACCTGCAGATTTGCATGAGAATAAAACAAGCACCCCAGATAATCCACAGACTTACAGGAAAAAAAAAAAATGCTTACGGTTATTCTATGGTTGTTTGCTATGAAGCGAAAGCCAACTAAAACATGAGATCGTTATACCTCTGTGTAAAATTCCCATCCAGGCTTGACTTCCCTGTCCAATTGATGACACTGGGAGAAGAGTCCTGAAGACCGGGTGTGGTTCAGTCCCATCTGGGGCTCTGTTTCAGACCTCGACAGGCCCAATCGGAACATGTTGTTTTCATTCCTGTACCTATGGTAAGCAAAACCGAGTCAGAGTCCAGGCCAGGCCTATCAGAGGCCTATCAGACTCTCTTGGAATCTTGGCTTCTCTGTTTCACATGGTATGGAAGTCACGCACGTTTTGTTTTTTTTTTTTTCCTAGCAAATCTTTATTTAAATTCTACTTAATTAACATATACTGTAATATTAGTTTCAGGAGAATTTAGTGATTCATCACCTACATGTAACACCCAGTACTCATCAGTCATTCCCAATTCTTGAACCTGTTGGTTTAAATATCTCCCTCCTAAGGTGAGCTTCAAGGTAGAGGAAAGAAGGCAGGACAAGTTTAGCTGGAGCCATAGGCCAAAGCTTTTCCAATTGAGCTTTACCAACAAAGCTCATAGCTTTGTATTTGTATTTCTTAAATGATACATAATCTATAAGGGGGGGAAATTAGCAATGTTAGAAATCACAAATTAAAAGTGATAATATTAGGGTCATTTAATTTGGTAAATAAAAACACAAATGACAGAAATTTAAGTATTATCAATGATATATTAAGAAAGTTGCTACCAGTGAGCTTTTGTGGGGGAAGAACCACATTATTTCCGGCCATTTAGCAGAGGCATTGTGTTTCCTAAAGCAGTTACTGCTTTCTGAAAAGAATTTCAAACTTTTGTCCCAAAAGTAGTTCCAGAATTTTCAACTCTCTCCATATTTCTACTGAACTTCCATTTCTGCTTTCTTTCTCAACCTAATGTGTCATGTTATGAAGGTTATGTACAGCCAAGAATTCAAATGTTTTAATCTTACTAGTGACCACTTTGTACTATATCTCATGTTGGAAAACCAGACTCTTGACCATACCTAATTCAAAATCATTTCCATTTCTGCATAACTACTTTTCTTATTCAGGCAAGAGTTGTGGGTGGACCTCTAAAATTAGATAGCTTCAACTCTCAAGGGAATGGGCTTTCGCAACAGCATTCACTACACCCATCATCAAATACGGGGACCTACACTTGTCTTGTAGTGAGAGAATTGCCCTTTATTCTTAACAAGCAGGCAACAGGATCAAACAGATCATTCAGGTGAAATAACAAAGACAAATACATATGTGATAAATCTGTGTAGTTACTTCTTGGAAGCTTGCCATGTACTTTCCTCTCCTTCATATCTCAAACTTCAGAAAGGCCAGGACCCTGTTTCATTCATCCCAATACGTGGCACGTTAACAGGTGTTCACTTTGTAATTTTTGAAGGAATGGATACAGGCTATGTGTTTTTACTTTATAGTGAAGATTAACGAGTTAATACATATAAAGAGCTTAGAACAGTGCCTGATACTAAGCACTTAATTATTACAAAATGAGATAAGATTTAGAACAGAGATTAGAAGAGACTTTTTAGAAGTCTGCCTTCAACTGACCTTGGCAAAATAAGGAAGACTAGGCTAGCAATAAGGCTAGGAGTATAGAAAAGTTCTACAGCCCAACATACGCTAACAAATGACATGTATTATTTTATACAAACAATGATGCTTATTTTAAGTCCACAGTTATAAGATTAAAGGGGTATAATCAAAGCTTGTCCATTAAATTGAAAGCACCTCCAGACTGACTCAAGTTTGTATTCTTAGGCCCTGGTAGGTACAAGATATTATTTGCTATACTGAATCCATCCTACTATTTAACTGTGTTAATACCACACCAATATAAAAATATGTTAAGACAAATTAAAATATACATACTTAACTTTATTACATCATTTAAAGCTTGATTTTATAAAACATAAAAAGAAATGTTTAAGTGTTCTGTATCACAGGAATTTAAACAGTGGCAATATACATAGCTTTGTAAGTTCAAGTTATATAAATTAAAATCAAATAATTGGAAATGCTTTTAATACAGAAAATATACAAATAAAATAAATGGCAAAAGGACCTAACAGGAGAAGTATTTCATTACTTACAGATTATCATTAGATAATTTCAGGATCTAAACAAAGACTCTGAATATTCGGACTTCTTTTGCTGTATTTTATATTTAAATATCTCCCTACCTATATTCCGAATCAAGGTACTTGACCAAAAGGTTTAAGAAGGCATTTAGCTTTAGGCAAAAGCTTTCCATCTACAGTTACCACCTTTAAAGGAATTGACATTAACAATGTTGATGTAATCTGCTAGTTCCCTTCTGAACAATGTGCAATAATTTATACCAACCCTGTATAAAGTCATACAGGTACCAAAAAATGGAACAATTATGCACAGTTCAATAGAAGTATAATGTTAAGTTTCCCCATCTAAAAATTAACCAGTGAAACAAAATGTATCAACTATAGTTGACTTGGTTTCAGGAAAACCACATCTGAGAGTTATAAGTACATCACTGTCCTTATCTTATCCTCAGTCATTGACAGGAATTTTGTAGGCCACCATGCTATTTACTTTGTGGATTGTAGTAGTAAATAAACGAAGGGACGGACTTCCTCAGAATTGGTAATAAACTGTGGTCCCGACTCTTCCCATTTTTCAGGTACAACCAAATCTTTGTCTGTATGTATCAGTAGATCAAATGAACCTAAATTGGGGATAAGATCATTAAAGTACAATTATTTTTTTCTAAAGTACAACCACCCTTCCTGTGTCTTTCACATTTGAACCATCTATAGTGTCAGAAAAGCTAGTTTACCTTGATCTCTAATCAATTATATTAACTAATTGCTTTTCCTCAATGGAAATTTTAGTACAGAAAACACTGTACTCCTTTTACTTTATGAAAAACTCAAGTTTTTTTTTTTTTAAAGAGAAAACCACTAAAAATATTTGCAGAAAGTATAAAATTAATCATGAGACAGCATGAATCTAAGCCATAGAAAAGATAATACCTTGGTTCTGTGACAGCTGTATCCCAGTGCCCAGAACAGCATCTCGCATGTAGTAGGTATTTAGGATATATCTGATGAATGAAGGAGTAACTAAGAAAACAAAGACACAATTATAGCTATAAATCTTAATTATATACATAGAAATGTGTAGAAAATAAAATGAAAGAAATTACATCAAAATATTCAAGAGTGAGTACTGTAGAATACTTTCATTGCTTTCCTTTTCAGCACTTGTAAATAAAATGCAAATAGCATTACTTTAGCTTTATCACACTTTTCTCATTCATATAACATGACATTTATAATTAAGAAAAAACTTAATGAGCGCGTTAATTCTTAAAGTAGTAGCTTAGTCTTTTCCACAACAAATTTAAGCCAGTGTGAAGTTGTATAATACTTACAAGAAACTTCCAATAGTGGCAGAAATGTCACCGTAGCTGTGATCTGTCTGATCACTGAACGGATTTCATCTTGGATAGCTTTCTGAGACTTTTCTCTGGGTGCACTATCAAAGAAACCAATTAATTCATTTTAAGTTTTAACAAGTTATTTGAAACACAGGTAAGATTATTTATCTGATTAAATGCTTCCAAAATCAAATAAGTAATGCATTCAAAAGGAGTTTTTTTTTTTAAATGAAAATAAATATATGTCCTTAAGAAACTTAGTAGGCCCAATATGTATCTCTATTATTTCATTTATCCTTCCAATCATTTTTTAGGGTTGTTCTTAGTATCAGGTCATTAAATAACAGATGACTAGAAAACCTGCCAAGTACTTCAAGTCAGGAAAGCTTCAGCATGTCTTAAAATAAAGATAACAAGCAGTATCTAAAATATTGAATCGGTATAATCATTTTGGCATTTTTAGTAATGCCTAAATGTCTAATTTCCTATTGCCTCAAATAAGATGTTAATCGTGTATGGCGTTAATAATTAAACATTTTCTAAAACAGACCAAAGGCTTCAGGAGCAAACTCCATCATTTCATTATGAGAGATAGTTCAGAGTTTACAGGTAAGCATGCCTAGGACGATGCTAGAAATTAGCATATAATGATGGGCATCTCCCATCCAGATAATCTAAAAACTTCAGTTTAATAAGTGTCTAAAGAGGGGCGCCTGGGTGGCTCAGGTAGTTAAGCGACTGCCTTTGGCTCAGATCATGATTCCCGGGTCCTGGGATTGAGCCCCACATCGGGCTCCCTGCTTGGCGGGAAGCCTGCTTCTCCCTCTCCCACTCCCCGTTTATGTTCCCTCTCTCGCATGCTCTATTAAATAAATAAATAAAATCCTAAAAAAAAAAAAAAAGGGGGGGAGTGTCTAAGAAGTTTGTAGCATTAAATGAAATACAGTAGAGCTGCACAGTAAGCTGGGAGAAAGTCTAGGATAATACTTCATGGTTAAAAGTACCTTTCTACAATTCATGAAATGGCCCACCTAGGACGGACAGCATGGTAGCTTTACATATAGCATCATAAACACTAAAGTTTGAAATTTATGGATTTAGCCTAAGCGCAATTATGTTAAAAGTCCGTGATAGGCAAAATTCTTTCGTGAGCACAATTTGTGAGCCCAATCCTTCTCCACAGGAGATTAAAGGTCACATCTAACATACTTAGAAACAAACTACTTTATATGAAACTAGTTCAATATAAGTAGAACTCATCTAGTAAAAGAAAACAGTTTTGGAAAAAGATCTGTAAAAATGGAAGCAATTTACTTCATACTTACCTGTCATCTTTGGCAGTCTTGTCACACTCAATATCAAATTGCCACCTTTCAAGTACCTCACCACTTTCAATATTTGAGATGACAACCACCAGTTTCTGAACTGAACACTTGTATAACCAATCTCAATACATAACAAGGAATCTTTTTTGTTTCACTGCATTACAAAACAACTCTCTTCCCAGGTCTCACTTTCTATCCTCAGCAAATTCCTACCGCTAGTATTTTGGAACTCTGCCAACCTGTACAGAAAACCTGCCCCACAATAACCTAGCTCCTGTTTTCAAATTCTCAGTATTTGTACCAGATATAGTACTGAGTGCTGAAGACAGAGTAGAAAACAGGAAGTACACCCTAATCCAAGTAAGATGCAGGAGATGGCCATTAATCTAATCACTGCACCGATAAATATAAGATTCTAATTGTGGTAAACGCTATGAAGGTGCAGTATGTGACGCAATGAGAGCATAAGAGAGGAAAATTGGACTCACTCAGGGAGTTCTCACTTAACTTCAGTTCTACAAATAAATTATCATTAAATATGCAAAATGATACAGAAAAGAGTACAGGTCTTAAATATTGAAAAGGGAAGAGCATCTGACCAGAGGATTGAAAGAAGGGTAATACAACTGCAGTAAAGAAAGGGGAGAATGAACAAGGTCAGTTTGTGTAGGATACACAGGGGTCAGACCATGCAAGGCCATATGGGCCAAATTAAAGAAGTTACACTTCAAGAACCAGGGAAGTCATTACTGTATTTGAAGTATGGTGTGATGTAATTAAATTTGTATTTCAGAACTATCCTTCTGGCTGTGATGTGGAAAGCAGAGTAGAGGTAAAGAGGGGATCTAGAGACACCAATTAATTAGCAATTCAAGCAAGAGGTAATGAAGGCTTAGAGAAGGATAAGCTGGTAGAGATGGATCAGTAGATAGATTCAAGAGACTTCATGGTTAAAACTGTTAGGATTTATTGACTACTTATGAGTAAGCAAGAAGAAAGACTGAGATAGCTCCCAACTTCCTAGTTTATATCGCTAGTTGGATGGCTGATCCATTCACTGAGAAAAAGAATGCAAATGGGAGATGATGCTTAAGTTTTAAGATTTTATTTTTAAGTAATCTCCACACCCAACATGAGGCTGGAACTTAATATCTCGAGATCAAGAGTTGCATGCTCCATTGACTGAGCCAGCCAGGAGCGCCTTAAGTTTAGTTTTCAGGTATCACTGGGATAGCCAGATGAAGATATCAACGGAGCCACGAAATATATGAGCACAATTAGGAGAATTGGGTTGGATGTACATTTGTGAGTCAACTACACCAAGGTTGTTAGTGAAGCTATGTACATGTCAGAGATCATCCTAGAGAGAGATTATAGTGAGAAGAGGGCCTCAGGACAAGCCCTGAATTAATCTTGGAAATTGGGATAGTATACTCAGGAATCTGTAGTGTTTTTTTTTCTTTTTTTAAGAGACAAAACAATTTTGTAATATTTAGGGTTTGTGGGCCACCTAGGTCTCTGTTGCATAGTCTTTAAAAAACAGCCCTTTAAAAATCTGAAAACAGGGCACCTGGGTGGCTCAGTTGGTTAAGCGAGTGCCTTCGGCTCAGGTCATGATCCTGGAGTCCCGGGATCGAGTCCCGCATCGGGCTCCCTGCTCAGCAGGGAGTCTGCTTCTCCCTCTGACCCTCCCCCCTCTCATGCTCTATCTCATTCTCTCTCTCAAATAAATAAAATCTTAAAAAAAAAAAAATCTGAAAACATTCTTAGTTTGCAGGCAGTACAAAAATAGCCACTTGCTAGACACGGGCTGTCGTATGTATCAACTTTTTCTTGACATATATCAACTTTTTCTCAATTTAGCTCTGAAAAGGAAGAAATTGGGTAGTAACTTAAGGATTTGGGGTGGGTGGAAATTTTTTTCTTTTAAAACTGAAGAGAGATCAAAACAAAGAAATCAAAAATACCAGAGAAGAACTAGGATAAAATCCTTAAGGCTAGAAGAATGGGGATTCAGATTGAACAATTTGCCTCTAAGAAGAGCAATTCCTCCATTTTAACTAAAATAAAAGGGAGAAATTAAAGAGGAAGGTCTGCATACATCCGAGGTGAAGAAATATCCTCAGTGTAGTCTTAAAGGAGACAACCCAAAAACCAGTAGCTTAGGTGGGGTTTGCTTCTCCATCAAATTAAGATGATATAGATTATTAGTTGCTTACTAATAATCTTACTTTTTAGCCCTGAAGATAATCCAAAAAAAAAAACCCAATTAATCTAATTTTAAAAATAAAGCTACTTGATACAAAGAAATATATATGACTCATGAATTAAGAAAAAAAGATGACTAGTGTTTTTTGGAACTAGTTTTGGAAGATCAAATGGGGAGCTAGGGAGAAACATCCTACAACAGAAAAATTAGAAGTGAGAATCCTAAGTAGAGAAAAATATGAGGGGAAAAAGGAATAGATGGAGAACAAGTATTGATTCAATACAGTAATTTCTTGAGCTAAAGAAAAACAGTGAGTGTTCAGATAGAAAAGGCTTACTGATTAAAGGCAGGATTTTAAAAAAGACAAATGGAAATATATAAAAAATAAAACTCTACTGGGTGCTCTATTACTTAGTAGTTCTTTTCTTTAAGTTTAGTTTCCAGGTTGGATCCAATTTTATTTTCCTTTAAGTAATGATGGCTTTAAACTCTAGGCAGTTACAGAAAATATATGTTAAAAATATACAGTGGATTTTTCTCCGATAGTGAACACCATCATAAGGACAGAAAATTCCAACTTGTTCCATCTGGCTACATGAACTGCAAAAATCATTTCTAAGGAAGTTGATGGAGACAGTTTTGTGAAGCCATATCAGATTCCTAATATCAAAATATTCAACCCACTCAAACTGCAGTATGGGAAGGGTGGACTTTCTTTCAATTTATATATTATTTGCTTCCTTCCAATTAAGAATCACTATATTTGAGGCTGTAGTGTTTTATACCTTTTTGTACAGAGCTGAAAAATGACCACCAAGATGCCAGAAAATATGGGTTTCTACAAGGCCTGCAAAACTCAAAATGGTTTGCAACAATTAAATACCTTTCGGCGGTTCCACCACATTATTTAGGTATTTTATGAGCTCAGGATCCGTTGTTACAAGCAAGGTGAGTCCATATTTCTGCACTCTATTAAAGGTTTCAGATGGATATATGCCACGCTGATATAAAATGCTGTTGATGCCAAATGCTGGAAACAAAAGGAATGTTAAAGAAAAGTCATTATCACTTTGTAACTCTGGAAAATAAAACATATTTAGATGTGGCTACGTTTCATTAATGGTATAAAACCATAAATGCCTTAACGTGTTTGTGGGTGTTTTGCTGAAAGCAGAGTAGGTAAAAAGTGGCATTAAACATTCTTAAAACCTTGCTTCTAATTAAGAGAGAACACGATACCTGCATTTCTGTGGCAAAAAAAGAGAAAAGCGCCAAACGGCATTAATCTACTGTCAAAGTAGTACTACAACTCACTGTAATCCAAGTCCCAATTCAGATTATGTGGTTAGAGGGTGTCAAAATAGGCTTTTGCATCTCAGTTAGCAACTGATTAACTGTTCTCTGCAATGCTCTCAGCAAACCTTTCCCTCTTTTTCCTCCTTTTCTCCTCACAAGTCCTGCCAGATTCTATCAGAAGGCACAACTGTCCTGGTCCGGAATGGCGTTTCCTAAATCTAGTCCATCACCGCCAATACCAGAATCAAAGAGGGGCCGAGGGGTTGTTAAAAATATACGTGGCCCCCACCCCGGCCCTACGCCCTCTTAAGTCGCGGAGGCTGGGGGCGGGCGGAAAGGGCCTGGCTCTGTAGTTGAAAGCAACGCTGCAGGTGGAGGGGCTACATCGCGCCGCAGGCCTCAGCAGCACCTAGGCCTCAAGCTCCACCATTAGCAAGGAGCCCGGAGGCGGCGTCTGCATCCGCTTCTTCCTAGATTCTCCCGCCGGGCAGGAGGCTGGGGCAGAGAGAGCTTAATTCTCGGCCTCGCGGCCTCGCGGCCTCCCCTCCGCCCCCTACCGCTTCCCCCGCCTCCGTGGCTGAGCCACGGGCCTACCGGGCGGCCTGGCCTCAGTTCACCCCGCCCTCCGGCCTGCGCGAGGAGGACTTACAGAAGAACTCGGCCACGGTTTCGGCGCTCCCGCGCAGGGTGATGCCTTGCTCCCGGGAGAGCTGCAGCGCCATGGCCAGTCCTACAGACGAAGGAGTGCGCTTCCCCCCGGCAGAGAGCGACGGCGGAGACGCCCACAGCAGTTCCCCGCCACTCGTTTCAAAAGTAACGGCGCAGCACGCCCTCGGGCCTCGGCGCAGGCGCGATGAGCCTCTAGGCCCCGCCCCGTGGGGCGGGGCCTGCAGGTCCTCTGGGCGCTTTTCGGAGCTGGCCTGTCCGCAGGCGCAGGGGGTAGGCGTGGTCGCCCAGTTCTGGGTGGTCAAGCTCCGCAGGGTCCCGGCTGGGCGTGTGTAGTTGTGGTCTACTAGACCGGCCTGAGGGAAGAAGACGCCAAAACCTGGTTTGGGTTTTTTTTTTAAAGATTTTATTTATTGGGGCGCCTGGGTGGCTCAGTCGTTGGGCGTCTGCCTTCAGCTCAGGTCGTGGTCCCAGGGTCTTGGGATCGAGCCCCGCATCGGGCTCCCTGCTCCGCGGGGGGCCTGCTTCTCCCTGTCCCACTCCCCCTGCTTGTGTTTCCTCTCTCATTGTCTCTCTCTGTCAAATAAATGGATAAAAACCTTAAAAAAAAAAAAAGAATTTATTTATTTGAGAGAGAGAGAATGAGAGAGAGCACATGAGAGGGGGGAGGGTCAGTTTCAGATATTTTAAATACTTAAATATTTACGTGGAATTACTTTAAAAGAAAATTTTGTTGCACACCATATTCAAAATGCTAAAAATTGTACACCTTGAGGTGTTGAAAACATGATCTTATGAAAATATCAGCCATTTTCACAGATCTGAAAAAAAGCTACTGAATTGTACTATATGCCTACTTAAGTTTTTGTTAGCTAAGCAAATAGATTTATTTTGAGATATGCAAATATGAATAATTGCCACTGCATTAATTCTACCACATTGTTAGGAATCATGACCTTGCATTGCAGACTCTAAAACGGATCTGAATTTGAAACCCTGAGAACACTAGCGATAGAAGGGCAATGAGAAACATCATTATAAGGGCTCCTACAGCTTCTTTTAGGAGGAAAGAATCTGATACACATATGAACCCTGTTTATAAACAATACAAAAAGAAAAGGTCATTACTGCATCAGAATTACCATCATAAAAAATATTATAAATAATATTAAAGTCACACTGAGTCAATAACCACAGGGTTTTATTATCTTCAACACTACTGACAGCTTAATAAAATATGCTTAACAAATCATTTGTTTGAAAACTGAAAACGATATTCCTATGTAATTACAGAAACAGTGTTTTTAAAAAGTGGATGGCAATATTTATTTTATATCCATCATCTGATTTTAATACAAATATCTTGCCAATAAAAATGTTACAGCTTTTAGAGATAAGAAAAAAATATGAAAGAAAGAAAAGAGAAAAGAAAAAAGTCTCAAACACAGGACCCAGAATGTCAACTAATTCAGCACAGTTTTGCAGTGTCAAGTAAAAAGTCTCTCATAGAAAGTTACATGGAAGTGTAAAACTTCGGTTTCTGGACTTTGATCCAAGCGGTCAAACTGGTCCTCATTAGTAACTCCTATTTCCATTATATGTCAAATATTCTCAAGCTTTTGCCTAGTACAAAACAAAGCAATAAGAAGTCAATCACGTTACCCCTACAATACTAAATGATCTAAAACATAACCCACAATGGCAGAAATGATTAGTAACTAATGAAAGGTAACATTATTTTAATATGCTGTCAAGAATAACAACAGCTGTTAAAGTGGCATTAGCACCCGGAAGCCTTCATTTGCAAATGCATGAAGATTAGAGCCCTTAATTAACACAGTAGTATCTCAGGCGGGTAGAACTGCAAAGTTGTCTAGAATGGTGAGGGTGGGAGTTTCCATATGTTGTAGTTTACTAGTCTCCAGTTAATTTTTATGCCAATAGATTATGTTCTGAATTGTTCAACTGACACTCAAATTCACATAAACAGGCTGTGATTACTAAAAAGCATCTATGCTCCAAGCTTGTAGCTTTGAACTAGGTGCTTAGCTCTGTATTTGAAGATAGTTATAGGAAACAATGTAATATAGCAGCCGAACTGCTTTCAAGGTCAACCAAAATTCACGGGTATTTAAATGAGAATTTAGGGATGCCAGAAACCTTCATTCTGTTCAGTGACTACTACTGAGTACAGATCATTCAGTTTGGGAATAGGATAAAAAAGCATGCATGAATGTCATGCATGGAAGTAGTTCCATCAACATGCCTGTTTACCGGCACAGATGGCCAATCTAAGTGAATCCAAATTTATTTTAAATTTAAAAACATGTTAAATGTTTCTACAGAACTGTCTCATGGGGTCCTGAATCACACACAGTACTCATTTTACACTTACAGAGTGTAACAAACAGGATAAAAGCAGAGTAACAGCTTCTAGTTAAAAGAAAAAAAAAAAAATCCTAGCTATAAAGTTAAAATGTCTGCAATAAGTTTTTACCACAACCATATGAATCACACTGGGTTTAGAAGTTTGGAATTTTTATAATCAACTACTGTCTAATCTCTCAATCTTAAATCTCTAGTTAATGCCACCAAATATAAGCCCAAACAGGAACCTCTGACTACACACAAGCTCTTAGATCGTATTCTTTAAACTGACAACTTTCAGCACTTTATACTTAATGAGGGCCTGTACTACTCTTAAATATTTTACACTTTCGTTTTCCAAGTTTTACTCAACATAAACTCTTAGAAATATATAAGAATATATATACACATACATGTCATAGAAAGTGGTCAGCCTATTGTCAACATCAACTATAATATAAAAACCGTAACTAAAAAAGTCTTTATATAGAGTTTCAGATGATCTGAATTTTACACAGAAAAGTGTAACTTTGAGAAATGAGGACTGTAATCCTGTGCTACTTGGGAGAAAAGGTAATGTGAAAAGAAAATTAAATGTAACCCCTTCCATTTAACTTCCAATAAAATGTTACTTTCAAAGATTTGGCAGGCTCTGAGTGAAGTGTTCTTATGTATGACTACTTAAAAAGATCACCAAACTATCCTAAGTTTCTGTGTTTAAAGGGAGAGAAGGAAAAAAAGAAGAGGACACTGATGTTGATTTGTAAGACAAATCACTTTTTTCTTTCAACTACTAATAATCTGCCTACAGAACATCTCCAAAGAACAGCCTGACACACTGAAAAAAATCAGCCCAGCTCTCCTGCCCGCTCCCCATTCAATGGGGGCAGAAAAGTGGAAGTGTGCAAGGGTGAAAGGAAACTAGGGACAGATGGCCTCGGAGTAGCAGGTGACCTTTGAAAACTGGGGGCCCACAACAATCAATAATTCCAGATCTAGATGGCCTTCGTGCCTCACCCCGAACTCGCAGGAAACTGTCCTTTGAAAAGAAACCACTTTTCTTTTCAGGGTTTATCCTCTGGTTGCTCCAGATTCAGATTTTGAAGGAAGACAGCCAAAGCGGGGAAAGAGGACTTTAAAAGGAGGGCGGAGTAATTAAACAGAAGAGATAAGATTTGCCCTAAGCTATCGCCTCGGTCCAAAACCCCCGAAAGGGATGAAATCGACACAAACTCGTTTAGGAGAAACTGCCTTAAAAAGAGCCCCTTCTAAAATCCCAAAGGAATACACCGTAAGAGAATAAAGGAAGACAAAAATATCAGACAGTCCATTTTCAATGAAGCATCCCTCTGCCCCCCCGCCCCCGCTGGGCGCCCCCAGCCAGCACCCAGCCCCGCGCCCCCAAGGTAAAGTGGCAAGTGGGGGGATGCTGAAGGGACTACCTTGTTTTGTCTCCAAAGGGCAACACAGCAAACATAGGAAGGTCGAAGTGCAGACCACGCGGCCTCCGCAGACTCTGGACTCCGGGAGGCGCCGGGGGGCGACGACGTGCCCAGGGGAGGCGGTGACTCCAAGCCTGCTCCCTTACCGACCCCGCCACCGGGCCGCCGCCCGCCGCAGCCCGCTCGCTCCGCGCTGCGCCGCCCCCTGGCGGGGAGCGCCCGGCAGAGCGGAGGCCGAACGCCGGCGGGGGGGAGCCCAGCGCCGAGCCTCGGCCGGCCGCTCCACCATCACCGCCCTGAGTGCGCTTTCCTGGCGGCCAAGGCAGCCAGCGCCGGCTGCCCGACGGCCGCTGCCTGGAGGCGGCGGCGGCGGCGGCGGCGGGTCCGGGACTCTTCTCCAAAGAGGCGCGTCCTGGAGTCAGTCGGAGTCCGCGTGTAGAAGCCTTTGCCCGCGCAGCGGCTTCTCACCAACTCCTCAGGCTTCAGGGCATCCGCCCGCCTCCACTCTCTGCTCCGGCCCCTCCTTCCTCGGCTTCAACCTCAATTCCTCCCCAACTCTACGGGAGCCTTTCCCACGCGCGCCCCAACTGCCCCCCGGGCAGCCACCTCCCAAAGGACAGGCACCCTCCTCCCCGCCCTCGGCAGCGGCCGCCCGGCGCTTGGCTCTCGACCGGGAAGAGCTGGCCTCTGGGGTCGGCTGGGGCTGCGCGGGACCCGTCAGCGCCCCGCTGTCGGCTCCCGCCGCGCCTCCCCAGCGCCCTTTGTGTGCGCGCCGCGAACCCCTCTGCGGAGCCCTTTCAGCGGCGCCGCCTTGGGAGCAAGAGAGAGTGAAAGGAAGCGCCGGGCCAAGCAAGGGACTGGAAAGGGGCAAAAGGCGACAGCGCTTACTCTGGGAAGACTCCGGCATGTTGCTGCCTTTGGGCTCCTCGTGGTCTCGCCCCTACCCCGACTTCCCCGCCCGCCAAGGGCCAGGGCGAGGGGGGACGGGGGAGGAGCGGAGCTGCTGGGACCGAGTTGGAAATGGTGCTTCCGGAGCCGCAGGGAAGGGGCTCAAAACTGTTTTGGTTTCGCTGAGGAGATTTAGGGGGACTAGGAGGCTAAAGAAGGGCTGGGGGAAGGCCCGTGAGCGCGGATGTATGTAAATAATCTTGCTCTCAGGGAATAATCTTGCTCTCACCGGCCGTGTGTGTGTGTGTTGGGGGGGGGGGGGTCCGCATGTACATTTTTGCATTGAACTTTTTGAGCAAGTTGGATCGAATCCCACGCTTGGGCTTTTCGACTGTACTAGCCATAAAGTCGAGGTGTCTACACCCTAACAGGACCAAAGACCTACTTCAAAAGCAAAGGGCCTGGGAACCGAGGTCGTTTAATGGTAAAGGAAGAGGAAAATTCAGTAAGGGAGAGAGATGAGCCCCCAGGTCACTCTCAGCGCCCCGGGTGGGTCTTCCAGGGGTCCTCTTCTTACCTGGTGGCTTTCCTAACAAAGTAAGAGCAGGTAAAGTCCCAGTGATCATCCAGCCACGCTTCCACGGAATCCTGGTCCCGCTGCAGCTTCGACTCCCCGGAGCCGGGGCTGGCCCGCTCCATGATCCGCGCCCAGCGTCTGTGCAGCTGGTTTGTGCCGTTTTCCACCCCAGCTGGGGTCTCTCCCTCGGAGGAGCCGGCCTCTGCCCCGAGACCCTCCCCCTCCGCCTTGCGCCGGTCCGGCTGGCTTTTGGCGAAGCTGCTCCGGCGCCCGGCCAGCCGCTCGCCACGCCCCACCTCTCCTGGTGATCACCGCTCCCAGGTGCGGCGGGTGGGGCAGGCGCAGCAGCCGCGCGGCCTCGCCGGGGTCGGGCGGAGGCTGGGTCTCGCCGTCTGTCGGGTCCCCAGATTCCAAGGCGGCGGCGGAGGCAACTGGCGAGCTCTCCGGCCGCTAAGTGGCCGCCGCTGGAAGGAGGCCGCTCGGCCGCTGGGGTGCGCTGTGGGCTGAGCGGGTTCCGGGGGAGCGCGCAGAGGTGACTGGGGGTGTGTTCGCAGAGTGCCCCACAGTACGAAAGGGAGAGTCGCGATGTGTGCGCCCATCCCAAGTCCTGAAAGCTGGAGTTAGGGGAACCTTCCACCAAAAGTAAGAGGTGCGGCTACCCTGGCGACTTTTCTCAGGTCTGAGTGAACAGTGACCGCCCGGCCTCGCTTTCCTCCCCAGGGCTTGGGTCTGGAAGGTGCAGGGATCGACCTTCCTCCGAGCCCAGGCAGCCCGGGGGGGTGTGCCACGGATTTGCGGCTCCTGGTGGGTAACTTCCAACAAAGGCATTTCCGTAATTACTATGTTGTTAATAACCACAAATAATTATAAAGTAGGCGTCTTTGCATCAAACATTCCCTTTTTATGACTGCAACAAGATTTTCTGGGAAAAGGAAAAGGTAAAACTGAAGTAATCATCATGGTTTGTGTATGAAGTCAGAAGACAAGGGAACCTCTGTACAATTAGGTTAGAGAGCATAGACGCTACCCGGGGATAGTACAGAGCAGACTGGTTAGCCCAAGTTTTATTAGTCATTTATATTTAAATGGAATTAACACACACCCCACAAAAAAGTATCCGTTTCAAAGGGCTCAGCTTTCCTACTCTATTTTGTCCTATCCCAATCATGCTTTCCAAAAAGGAATTGGTGTCTTCCTTTTGCTTTGTTCTCATCTCCATCTCCTTGTCCCGCAATTTGCAGTTTTAATAACGGTATTTTGCAATGACCTAATTTGGGGGCAGAATGAAATATGGAGTTGTATGTTTCACAACGTGTGAACGACACCATTAGCAGTGATATACCCATAGTGATTTAGCTGACATACTTTTTTTTTTTTTTAATTTTTTTTTTTATTCTTATGTTAATCCCCTTACATTACAACATTAGTTTTAGATGAAGTGTTCCATGATTCATTGTTTGTGCACAACACCCAGTGCTCCATGCAGAATGTGCCCTCCTAAATACCCACCACCAGGCTAACCCATCCTCCCACCCCCCTCCCCTCTAGAACCCTGTTTGTTTTTCAGAGTCCATCGTCTCTCATGGTTCGTCTACCCCTCCGATTTCCCCCGCTTCATTCTTCCCCTCCCGCTACCTTCTTCTTCTTCTTCTTTTTTTTTTTTTTCTTAACATATATTGCATTATTTGTTTCAGAGGTACAGATCTGAGATTCAACAGTCTTGCACAATTCACAGCGCTTACCAGAGCACATACACTCCCCAGTGTCTATCACCCAGTCCCCCCATCCCTCCCACCCCACCCCCCACTCCAACAACACTCAGTTTGTTTCCTGCGATTAAGAATTCCTCATATCAGTGAGATCATATGATACATGTCTTTCTCTGTTTGACTTATTTCACTCAACATAATACCCTCCAGTTCCATCCACGTCGTTGCAAATGGCAAGATCTCATTCCTTTTGATGGCTGCATAATATTCCATTGTATATATATACCACATCTTCTTTATCCATTCATCTGGCTGACATACTTTTAACAAAGTCCTTTCAAACTATTCTTGGCAAGAATGTTAGACATTACTCATAGAATGAGTATTACTACATAGAAATGCATAATTAAATTGATAATATAAGAACTTTAAAAAATGTCTTCCAATCCGCCAATGCAATGGTTTATCCTTCCTGCATTAAATAATTGTCCTTCTACAATTATAGTTTTTCTGAAACTTTACTGATGTATGCAAGTAACCACAAACCAACAAAAAGTAAGCAAAGCAGTAGAATGTGAAATAATGTGCAATAAATTATATCGGATTTTAAAATGCGAGTTCTGTGATCCTGATGTGTGATTACAGTGCTCGTGAACTCGAGACTTTGTCCTCAGTGCTCAGTTTTTCCCTGTGGAAATCCATGCATTTCTCCTAACAGAGGGTCAGTTATAATTTAAAACTATACTTTCCTACAAAAAATGAAGTGAATTTTTGGCTTGAATTGTTTGCTTCAGCTGGCTGCCTTGATTAAATAAACAAGCACTATCTAACTGTCCATTTTTCTCTTAACCTGAAAGGGTTAAATTATCAGAAACCAGAGAGTTTTCTGAAAAGTTACTGCAAGAAAAACAATCCGTGGATTCTGCCATTGGCGAGTCTGAATTCTGTGTGGTATACATGGCAGATTGGGGGTTCTTGTGAAGGCTGGTTACTTGAAGTGAGCATATCACAGTGGTTTGGGGGATGAGTTATTTCAAACTGTTCTAGTCTCCAGAGATCTCAGATAAAATTTGTAACAAATCTCTGTAACTTTAAAGTTCTTAAAGGTGACCTCACCCTGACCTCTTGTTTCCCAGCTCCATTTTATTTTTTATCCCTATCTGATAGATTTTTTAATGTTTTAACTTACTGGTATGGATTGCCCTAAGCATCTCCAATCTTGTTTTAGAATGAGTTGAAGATTGAGTAAATAATAAACATTATCAGGAAATAACTTTAAAAATGCTGTTCATGCTATTTACAACAAACAAATGCACAATGGAGGCCTAACAGAAAGGCCTCCAATTCCCGTCGTAGTAGAATAAAACCCAAACTCTCTAATGTGGCTTACAAAGTTCTGCATGATTTGACTTCTACCTACCTCTACTCTTGAGGTTTTGATCATACAACTAGAAAAAAATAAATCAATGATGATCAAATTCTCAAAAAAAGGAATGTGAATTACAGGAGTCATGAAATCTTTCCTGACCTGCTTTTTTTTTTTTAATTTTTTTATTCTTATGTTAATCCCCATACATTACATCATTAGTTTTAGATGTAGTGTTCCATGATTCATCGTTTGTGCATAACACCCAGTGCTCCATGCAGAATGTGCCCTCCTCAATACCCATCACCAGGCTAACCCATCCTCCCACCCCTCTCCCCTCTAGAACCCTCAGTTTGTTTTTCAGAGTCCATCGTCTCTCGTGGTTCGTCTACCCCTCCGATTTCCCCCCCTTCATTCTTCCCCTCCTGCTACCTTCTTCTTCTTCCTTTTTTTTTTTTTTCCTTAACATATATTGCATTATTTGTTTCAGAGGTACAGATCTGAGATTCAACAGTCTTGCACAATTCACAGCGCTTACCAGATCACATACCCTCCCCAGTGTCTATTACCCAGTCACCCCATCCCTCCCACCCCACCCCCCACTCCAGCAACCCTCACTTTGTGTCCTGCGATTAAGAATTCCTCATATCAGTGACTGACCTGCTTTTTTTTCATTCAAATCCCATACAGTATATTCTGTCCCCTTTGCAACCTTCCAGTGTATTCCAGGCTTGAGAAAATTAATATATTTGCACTTATAATATATTTGCACTTATGATCCAGTTTCCTCACTATTGAAGGGGGAAGACTAGAAGGTACATTGTGGTGTTGAAATGGAATTGGAGGTTAAAAATTAAACATGTGGGGTTGTGTGTGGGTGTGAGTTGTATCACGGGGAGAAATCCCACATGATGAAGAAATGCAGGCAGTTTCTAAGAGCTGTGGGTACCTTCCAGCTGACAGCCTACAAGGAGTTCCTGTCAGCAAGAGAATGGATCCCTCAGTCTTACAAATACAAGGAACTAAATTCTGCTAACAACCTGTGTGAGTGCAGAAGTCGATATTTCCCCATTCGAGCCCCAGATGTGACCACAATCCCAGCCAATATATAGACTTGCAGCCTTGTAAGATGCTAAGACATTTTCATAATTGACAACTTAATAATAATGAGTCTTATAATCCATGAACATAGTGGATTTATCCATTTATTCTAGTCTTTTAAAATGTCTCCCAGTAATGTAGTTTTTAGTATATTTGTCTTACACATATTTTGTTGGATATATCTCTGTATCTACTTCAGCTCTGTCACTGAGAAGTACTAGAAGCTATGACATTCCAGTAGCAATGAGTACAGTTAGTACCCAGATTTTGGTGTCTAAAAACCATTCTTCACTTTAAAAGGAATCAGAAGTCTGTGGAGAAAAAATTCCAGGTCTAGGACACAGAAAGTATTAGATAAGCCTGGAAAATCTTGTTTTGCTAGAAAATTAGAAAGGCTTGAAAAGATGGCAATATATCAGAAGGACAGAGGATATATCTGCAGGGAGCTTCCAATGGACAAATCTAGGGCAATTTAAATATCAAAATTGGGATACAGTAATAGTAACAAATT